TGCCGTCTACTTCAAGTGCAGCTTTCTTTACGTCATTGAACTGTTTGTTAATTTGGTCACTATTGAGATCTTCGTCGTCGAGAAGTAAATTTCTCTTTTGGATGTTAAGACAATGGGAAACAGTAACATGGGAGTTATTCTGGAACATAACACTAGTCATCAAATTTCAACTTTTTTGTTACAGACACGTGGTCTACTGATTTCTAAATTGATGGTGATGATTTCAGATTTGATGTTTAAATATATCTATCACGTCCAGATTTTCTGTAACCGACAACCCCTATTTTTCATTTTTTTTTACTCACCGCTTAGCAGTCTAAGCTATTTTTCCGTGCGAAATTTTATTTAGGCATACTTAAATATTTATGTTAACATGGGTGTCTTTTCTGGCTTAAGACAGTAGAGTGCCACTGGCGGAGTTACCCCTCCCGCGCCGCCCAACCATCCAACCACAGCGCATCAGTATTTATTTGTTAAACAAAAGAACATTCCTGTTCTTGTTCTAGTTGATGTTTCCTCTTCAATTCGTCGTTTATAGGATGACGAGCTCTCCTGCAGGAACCAACAATAATCTGCCATCATATTTGGATTAAAATTACCTTAATTTCTGTTTCCATAGCAGAGATCTGTTGATGGAAGCATTCACGGTGCTCATCGCATACAACCCTAAGGTTAGCCGGGAAGAAGTCAAGATGAGAATATAAAAAATGCATTTTCAAAAACATTCTGCACCCCATTCGTGCATAAGATTTAAGCATGTTTTCTTTGAGTTCAAAGTGGGTTTCAGCTTTGTAGTTTCCAAGGAAATTTCTTACAACTTCAACAAACGATGTCCATGTACCCCATCTCATTAAGGCTAGATGGAAACGATAGGTCACATATGACACTGTGGATCTGTGGCCCAGTGAAACCTCCAGCGTCTAGTTTAGTATCTGCCAATATTTCTCTGAAATTATCCTTTGAATATTGGAAACCAATACTTTGATGATCCATGCCTTTCACAAAATTCTTCTTAAGGTTAAGTTTTATGTGAAGAGGTGGAAGATGTACTCTCTGAACGTCGATAAGTGCTGGGGGCTTCATATTACCAACAACATGCTCAGTCCTAGATGGCCCATCATTTATTTTCTCTCTTTTTTTAGTGGTTCTTGTCATCTCTTGTCAGGCACAAAAAGCACATATACTTTGTGAAGCCCAACTGCAACCCAAGAAGTAATAATATAACTTTAAGGTCGCCATAAATGGTTCCATGTATGCTCCTTTTATTTGATGTCTTAGCAGCAGTTCCATGGATTCATAAGTCTCATTAAGGCCAGTGTCATGTGCTACAGGTATTGAAGGTTTTTCATTGCCGTTGTGCAGTAAGACAGCTTTAATTCTAGCTTTATTAGAGTCAATGAACAGTCTTCATTCTTCTGGATCATAGAGACAGCCAATCTGTTGCATCAGACCATTAATATGTTAGCATGTTCCTGTGTTCATGTTACAAATTATTATTTTTTATCCAAATCGTTAGATGTGGATGAGGAAGAGTAGAATAAGTTATTTGCATTTTACACAAAATCTAGACGTGTTAGAACAAATTTGATTTTAAATTTGAATTCAGCATACCAAATCAGCTAGATACCCTTATTTGCTCTTCTGTAACAAAATCTTCGTTGCCAAATGCGATGAATAGGGTTAGGAAGAAGTGATGATTTTTATGAACCTAATGAAATAGATTGATCATTAAATTGAACTAATGTGGCAATATTGTGTTTGATGTATCTTTATACTAACAGTTCATTGAAATATATGGGTTAGTAAGTGTACTCAAATAACTGTTTTCTAAAGGTGGGTACACACTTAATGCATTTCCACGTATCTTGATCATCGTTGCGTATCACCCAATGATACGATACGGTGTAAAAGGGTATTGTACCCACCTGCTGAGTATCCGCGATACACTCATCGTTCTCTGGTGCCAGTCAATTTCTTCATGACCGTCGCCATGAGTGCAAATGTGCAGTTGGCTGCGCGCTAATTTCATGAAAACATTGGTAAAAAGAAAAAGTCACGGCGTTGCTGACTCTATGCAAATAGGGAGAGGTGCAATGGAACAACTATGGACTCGTGGCCGTACCACGACAAGACTGAACGGGCATAGGACGATGCCCCGCAGCCGTCACACGAGGGTTCGCGGTTGTGCGTCATCCCTGATCGGAAAAATACCAGCAG